GACGGGTATAACGACGCGGGGTGAGGGAGGGCGCTGTACAGACCGGGCTATAACTAGACGCGGGGGTGAGGGAGGGGCGCTGTACAGACCGGGCTATAACTAGATACGGGGGGTGAGGGAGGGGCGCTGTACAGACCGGGCTATAACTAGACGCGGGGGTGAGGGAGGGGCGCTGTACAGACCGGGATATAACTAGACGCGGGGGTGAGGGAGGGGCGCTGTACAGACCGGGCTATAACTAGACGCGGGGGTGAGGGAGGGGCGCTGTACAGACCGGGCTATAACTAGACGCGGGGGTGAGGGAGGGGCGCTGTACAGACCGGGCTATAACTAGACGCGGGGGTGAGGGAGGGGCGCTGTAGAGACCGGGATATAACTAGACGCGGGGGTGAGGGAGGGGCTCTGTACAGACCGGGCTATAACTAGATACGGGGGTGAGGGAGGGGCGCTGTACAGACCGGGCTATAACTAGATACGGGGGTGAGGAGGGGGGTGAGGGAGGGGCGCTGTACAGACCGGGATATAACTAGATACGGGGGTGAGGGAGGGGCGCTGTACAGACCGGGATATAACTAGATACGGGGGGTGAGGGAGGGGCTCTGTACAGACCGGGCTATAACTAGACGCGGGGGGGTGAGGGAGGGGCGCTGTAGAGACCGGGCTATAACTAGACGCGGGGTGAGGGAGGGGCGCTGTACAGACCGGGCTATAACTAGACGCGGGGGTGAGGGAGGGGCGCTGTAGAGACCGGGCTATAACTAGATACGGGGGTGAGGGAGGGGCGCTGTACAGACCGGGCTATACACAGACACCGACCCGCCTGGGGCTCGCGCTCAGGCCGGCAGCGCTGAAGGTTCCCGGCTCTGCGCCGACCCCGGTGTCCTCCGGCACCAGGACCCCCCTGCGGAGCCGGCGTCAGGCCCAGGACCCCGCCGGTCGCTACAGGGGGGCCTTACGGACTGAGCCACGCCGGGGAGACACACCCAGCCCTGCCCCGCCATGGGGCCGGAGCTCTCAGCATCCTCAGGGGACCCCGCGCCCCCCAGAGGCCAGGGGTAACCCCAACTTCCTGGGAAGGGGGGAAGGGCACGTCTGCGAGGGCACCCAAAGGAGAGAACCCAGGCGTCCTGGCTCCCAGCCCCCCTGCTCTGACCCACGCGACCCTGAGCGGCGGATTCTCTCGCCCCGGCAGAACAAGCCGCCCGGCTGAAGAAGCTGCAGGAGCAGGAGAAGCGGCAGAAGGTGGAGTTCAGGAAGAGGGTGAGTGACCCACAGAGGCGGCCGTAGGGCCGGGTGGGAGCCGGCGCCCCCCAGAGGGGCCAGGCCCCGTGCCCCATTCCCCGCCCCCCTGAGCCGTCCCTTCCGTGTCCCCTCGCAGATGGAGAAGGACGTGTCTGATTTCATCCAGGACCCCGCGCAGACCAAAAAGAAATTCCAGCCCATGAACAAGCTTGAGCGCAGCATCCTGTGAGCCTCCCGGGGTGGGGGGCCGCATGTGGGGTGGGGGGTATCTCGGCCCTGGGTGGGGGGTCCCCGGCCGCCCCGCCCCAGAGGTGGGCGCGTCTCAGCCCCGGGTGAGGGGTCCCCGGGGCCCCGGGCGTCCCGCCCCGCCCCAGAGGTGGGCGCGTCTCGGCCCCGGGCGGGGGGTCCCCGGGTCCCCGGCCGCCCCGCCCCAGAGGTGGGCGCGTCTCGGCCCCGGGCGAGGGGTCCCCGGTCCCCGGCCGCCCCGCCCCAGAGGTGGGCTGCGTCTCGGCCCCGGGCGGGGGGTCCCCGGGTCCCCGGCCGCCCCGCCCCGGAGGTGGGCGCGTCTCGGCCCCGGGCGGGGGGTCCCCGGGTCCCCGGCCGCCCCGCCCCGGAGGTGGGCGCGTCTCGGCCCCGGGCGGGGGGGTCCCCGGCCCCCCCGCCCCGGAGGTGGGCCCCCGCCCCGGGGAGGGGTCCCCGGGCCCCGCTGCCCCGCCCCAGAGTGCTGCGCCGGCCCGGGCGGGGGGTCCCCGGGTCCAGCCCGGGAACGTTTGCTCCGTGTGTCTGAGTGTCGTGTCCCCCCTCGCCCGCGGCCCAGGCATGACGTGGTGGAAGTGGCCGGCCTGACGTCCTTCTCCTTCGGTGACGACGAGGAGAGTCGTTACGTCATGATCTTCAAAAAGGTGAGCGACCCCCCCTGCCCCCACATCCTGTCCCGGAGCCGGGGAGAGAACCCAGGAGTCCTGGCCCCCAGCCCCCCCTGCTCTAACCCCCCAGCCCCCGCTCCCCTCCCGGAGCCGGGGAGAGAACCCAGGAGTCCTGTTGCCCTCGCGGTGTGGGGCTGGGGCCAGTGCTGGGGTGGGGGCAGCGTGCGGGAAGCTCTTGGGGCCATGGGGTGTCTCATGCTCTGCCCCCCGCCTCCCAGGAGTTCGCCCCGTCGGACGAGGAGCTGGAGGCCTATCGCTGTGGGGAGGAATGGGACCCACAGCGGGCCGAGGAGAAACGCCGCCTCAAGGTGTGTGGGGCCCCCCCCCGGCTCTGCTGGCCCCAGGGCTGGGGGGGATCTTGGGGGGCTGGGGCATCTCTCTCCCTGTCTCCCTTTGGGTGGGCAGGACTGGGGGGGGGTCGTCCTCATGGGCGGGGCCAAGGTGTTGCCTCCCTCTCTGTAGGGGGCGGGGCATACCAGCACGGGTGGGCGGGGCTGGGGGCGTGTCCCCGTCCCATCTCACGCCCCCCACTGTGCCCCTCACCCCCCCAGGAGCGGGCTCAGAGGGAGGCGGAGCAGGAGGCGCTGAGGGGCCCCGCCGTGGTGAACCCCAACACCGACTACAAGGACAAATACAGTCACCTCATCGGCAAGGAGGCCGCCAAGGACGCCGCCCACACCATGCAGGCCAACAAGGCCTACGGCTGCGGTGAGCGCCGGCCCGGACGCCTGGGTTCTCTCCCCGGCTCTGGGAGGGGGCTCGGGGGTTAGAGTAGTGGGGGCTGGGAGCTGGGACTCCTGGGTTCTCTTCTCGGCTCTGGGAGGGGAGCAGGGGCTGGTGCTGGGGGGGCTGGGAGCCAGGACTCCTGGGTCCTATCCCCGGCTCTGGGAGGGGAGTGGGGGCTGGGAGCCAGGACTCCTGGGTTCTCTCCCCGGCTCTGGGAGGGGAGTGGGGGCTGTTGGGTTAGAGCAGAGGGGGCTGGGAGCCAGGACTCCTGGGTTCTCTGCGCGGCTCTGGGAGGGGTGGGGGCTGGGGGGGTTAGAGCAGGGCGGGCGGGGAGCCAGGACTCCTGGGTTCTCTGCGCGGCTCTGGGAGGGGAGTGGGGGCTGGGGGGTTAGAGCAGGGCGGGCGGGGAGCCAGGACTCCTGGGTTCTCTCCCCGGCTCCGGGAGGGGGGTGGGGGCTGGGGGGTTAGAGCAGGGCGGGCGGGGAGCCAGGACTCCTGGGTTCTCTCCCTGGCTCCGGGAGGGGAGCGGGGGGCTGGGAGCCGGGACTCCTGGGTTCTCTGCGCGGCTCTGGGAGGGGAGTGGGGGCTGTTGGGTTAGAGCAGAGGGGGCTGGGAGCCAGGACTCCTGGGTTCTCTCCGCGGCTCCGGGAGGGGAGTGGGGGCTGGGGGGTTAGAGCAGGGCGGGCGGGGAGCCAGGACTCCTGGGTTCTCTCCCCGGCTCCGGGAGGGGGGTGGGGGCTGGTGGATTGGAACGGGGGGCTGGGAGTCGGGACTCCTGGGTTCACACCCCCGCTCTCCCGTCCAGTTCCCGTGGCCAACAAGCGGGACACGCGCTCCATCGAGGAGGCCATGAACGAGATCCGGGCGAAGAAGCGGCTGCGGCAGAGCGAGGACGAGGGGCCGGGCGGGGCTGGGACCTCCTAGTGCTGCCGGGGGGGGGAGCAGATCGCAGGGAATGACCCCAAACCTGCTGCTGTGTGTGAACCTTGCTTGGGGCATCCCGGCCGCCGAGGGGGGGCTGCCGTGCCCCCACGTGCCCAGGTTACCCCCCCCTCTGTATTTACCCACTAGCCTAGGAGAGTTTTTAGGATTTCAGTGGGGGGGGGTATTTTAAGTGATTTGTTTGGAATTGTTTTTTCTCTCTAGTTGTGGGGGGGAGGGGAGAGTCTATTTTGGGGGTGTGTTGGGCCTGGGGGGGCAAGAGGCGGGGAATGGAGATCTGGGTGCAGTGTCGCCTTCCCCCACCAGAGGGCGCCTGGGGCCTCAGAGCAGGCTGCAGCATCCCACTGCTGCCACCAGAGGGCACTGCTCATATGAGGGGGGTCCCCCAAACGTCTGACCTCCCCCACCCTTGGGGATATTAGCCTGTCCTTGAGGGGGAGGAAAGGGGCTGGGACCCCTGCAGGGGGGGCTCCCTGCCTGGGAAGGGGGGGCTGTCTGGGGGTAATTTTAACCTGTTCTCCTTGCTGGGAGCTGGAGGCCCCTCAGCTAATTGGTGGGGGCCGGGGGGGGGGGAATTTGCTCGTTATTTAAGTGTAAATAGAATCAATCCCCAGACCCCGAGCTCTGAGCGGGGGGCAGCCAGATCCCTCCCCAGCCTCCTAGCAATGTGTTGTGGGGTACATGTCCCCCCCCAGTGTGTGGTAATGGGGGGGCTGCAGGAGCAGCGGTATCACCCCAATAAACCTGTCTCTGTTGAATCACGATCAGCCCGCCTCCTCCTGCCGGGGTGGGGTTTTGGAGCGACTCGGTGTGAGCGGGGCTGGGAGTCGCTGTGTGTCAGGGGCCCTGTACCGCACCCACCGGCGATTCCCCATCCCGCCCGCGGCACTGGGTCCAGCCGGGGTCAGGCTGCCAGGGGTCTCTGCAGCAGCCATGGGGATGGGAACAGTCACGGTGGGAGACCCCCCCCCGGACCCCTTCGCTGCATCCACTGCTCCCTTGGGGGGGCAGAACCTCACTGTCACTCTGACCTCCCCCCTTACATCCCCCTCCCCGCGCAGGGGAGAGAACCCAAGAGTCCTGGCTCCCAGCCCCCCCGTTCTTACCCACCAGGCGCCCCACAAGCGAGGATTGAACCCAGGCGTCCTGGCCCCCAGGAAAGAACCACACCGAGCCGCTGTCTGTCCAGGTGCCTTTATTCAGAGCCTGGCCCCAGAGATGCCGCAGGACGATGGGGCTGGACCCAGTGTCGCCGGCGCTCGCTGGTCACTTCGCGCTGCCCTGGGGGGAGCCCCGGTGGCGAGGGTCCAGGCCGGGCCCCGTCCCTCCAGTGCCACCCCCACCGTGGGGCAGGGCCGTGCCGACGCTGGGGGGCGCGGACGAGGGGCTCACTTGGCACGAGGGTTCCTGAACTTGCGTCCCGCAAAGTGAGCTTTGTCGCCCAGGGCCTCCTCGATCCTGGGGGGAGACAGGGAAGGGGGTGAGCTCGGGGGGGGGGGTTCAGATGGGGGGACCCTGTGCCCCATTCCCTGCCCCCCTGAGCCCGCCAGGCCCCGCCCTGGGGCCGGGGGGGAGCCGGCGCCCCCCAGAGGGGACAGGCCCCAGCCCGTTACCTCATCAGCTGATTGTATTTAGCCAGGCGCTCGGATCGGCAGGGGGCTCCAGTCTTGATCTGTGGGGAGAGGTAGAGCCGGGGTTAGGGGCTCGGGGCGGCTGTGGGGGGTGCGGGGGAAGGGGGGTGCAGCCCCCCCGCTGCTCACCTGCCCTGTGCAGAGGCCCACCACCAGGTCCGCGATGAAGGTGTCTTCGGTCTCCCCGGAGCGGTGACTGACCATCACCCCCCAGCCGTTGCTCTGGGCCAGCTTGCACCTGGGAGGGGGAACCGGGGGGAGGAGGGTGTCTGTGGGTGCTGCTGTGCGGGGGGGGGATCCAAATCTAACCCCATCCCCCCCACGCGCAGAGAGAGAACCCGGGCGTCCGGGCTCCCAGCCCCCCCTGCTCTAACCCACCAGCCCCCACTCCCCGAGCCGGGGCGAGAACCCAGGCGTCCTGGCCCCCACAGGCCCCGTCCCCCCCCCCGGCGGCTCACGCCTGGATGGACTCGGTGACGGAGCCGATCTGGTTGACTTTGAGCAGGAGACAGTTGCAGGCCTTCAGCTCCACGGCCTTCTGGATGCGCTTGGGGTTCGTCACCGTCAGGTCGTCCCCCACGATCTGGATGGGCACCTGGGTCAGGAACCTCCGCCAGGTCTCCCAGTCGTCCTGGTCGAAGGGGTCCTCGATGGAGACCACTGGGGGGGCAGGCAGAGGGTTGGAGCCAGCCCCCCGAGCGGGGACAGGCCCCTGCCCCGTTCCCCGCCCCGGGGGCGAGCCAGGACAGGCCCCTCACCGGGGTAATTCTTGATGAAGCTCTGGTACAGCTCGCCCAGCTTCTCCCCGCTGATGTGGCGGGCGGGGTCGTCGGGGGATTTGAAGTCCAGGTCGTACTTCCCGCCGCGGAAGAACTCGGAGGCGGCGACGTCCATCCCGATCACCACCTTGTCGGGGTACCCGGCCTTCTCGATGGCCGACTTCAGCAGCTCCAGCGCTGGGGAGGAGGCGAACGGGCGACAGGTCGGGCCTGGGGACGCACGTGGGGTGCCCTGCCCCAGAGGTGGGCGCGTCTCGGCCCCGGCTTGGGGGTCCCCGGGTCACCAGCCGCCCCGCCCCAGAGGTGGCCGCATATCTGCGCCAGATGGGGTGTCCCCATGTCACCCGCCACCCTGCCCTAGAGGTGGCCACATCTCGGCGCCGGCCGGGGGGCCCCGGGTCACCCACCGCCCTGCCCCAGAGGTGGCCGCCTTTCGGCACCGGGTGGGGGGGTCCCTGGGTCACCGGCCACTCCACCCCAGAGGTGGCCGCGTCTCGGCGCCAGGGTCCCTGTAGACCGTGACCTTTCCTGGCCCAGCAACGCTCACCATGCTCCCTGCGGCTCCGGTTACCAGCAGCTGCACTAATTATGGCTGCGACCTTTGGCGAGGGAATCGGGGGCTGAGATGAAAACCCAGCCTGAGAAAGTCTTGAAATGCAACCGCAGGCCTATAAGTAGCTGTTCCCCCCTTCCTGTCAATGTGCAGCCAGGGAGTGGAGTGGGAGGGAACCCAGGCGTCCTGGCTCCCAGCCCCCGCTGCTCTCACCCACCAGCCCCCGCTCCCCTCCCAGAGCCGGGGAGGGAACCCAGGGGTCCGGTACCTTCGTTGTTCTCCAGGATGTTGGGGGCGAAGCCGCCTTCGTCCCCCACGTTGGTGGCGTCCTTGCCGTACTTGGCCTTGATGACGGACTTCAGGTTGTGGTAGACCTCGGCCCCGATGCGCATGGCCTCCTTGAAACTGGCGGCCCCCACCGGCAGGATCATGAACTCCTGCATGGCCAGCTTGTTCCCCGCGTGGGAGCCCCCGTTGATCACATTGAACGCCTGCCGGGGGAGGAGGGACAGCATAGAACCCAGGCGTCCTGGTCCCCAGGTGCCGCTGAACCCCACTCTCCTCCCAGAGCCACAGAGAGAACCCAGGAGTCCTGGCTCCCAGCCCCCACTGCTCTAACCCATCAGCCCCCACTCCCCTCCCAGAGCCAGGGAGAGAACCCAGGAGTCCTGGCTCCCAGCCCCCCCTCCCCTCCTAGAGGAACCCCGGCGTCCAGGGGCTCTCACCGGGACAGGCAGGATGAGCTCAGCGTTGCCAGCCAGGTCGGCGATGTGGCGGTAGAGGGGCACCCCCTTTTCCGCGGCCCCAGCCTTACACACCGCCAGAGATACCCCCAGGATGGCATTGGCCCCAAACTTGGCTGTGGGGGGAGACAGATAAGATTAGCCCCCCCCCACGACAGTCAGGTAACAGGGAGGGATCAGCAGGGGGCAGGGAAGGGGTGGGCTGCAGTTTGGTGAGGGGGCTGGAGGTGAAGGGGCCAGAGGGGGAGTTGGGGGCTGGCAGAGGGTCGGTGGCGATGTCTCTCACTCACATTTGTTCTCTGTCCCATCCAGGTCGATCATGAGTTTGTCGATTTTCTCCTGCTCCACAACACTGAGTTTCTGGGATGCGGTGGGGGGGGAGGAACAGTAGGGGGGGGTCACACAGGCACCATGGGCAGCTCTGCCCCTCACATCCCCATCCAGGACACCTCACCCTGCTGCCTCCCCTACTCTGCCAGGCGCCAGCCCCCCACACACCACCCTATACACATTGTACCCAGGGACCCCCCACAATATATCTAGCCCCCTTCCCCAGCTAACCCCACTCCTGAGCCTCCCTCTAATACCCAGATATGCCCTCCCCAGGGACCCCCATGTCCTCTGGGCCTCCCCCCATAGCCAGGTACCCTCTGGTACCCCCCCACAGTCAGGTACCCCTCCATGCCTGTGTACTGCCCAGACCCCCAATACATGAGTACTCCCTACAGGCGTGAGCGGGCGGTGGTTACCTTCTCCAGGAGGGCCGGCACAATGATTTTGTTGATATTTTCAACAGCCTTCAGCACCCCTGGGTGGAGAAGGACAGAGATGTCGTACCCAGCTGGTCTCTATGGCCCCACCCGCTACCCCAGTGCTCCTGCATCCATCCCAGCTGTCTGCCTGGGCCATAGTCATTTAGACAAGCCCAGATTTCCATGGGATGTCCTAGGAGTTCATTTTAGGAGATCGGGAGCTTTATTTAAATTAAATAACTACATTCTAACGAACCAACAAACCACCCAAGAATGCGCCAACCAGCACTTTTATCCAGCCAATGAGCCAACCAGCCAATTAAATCAGTCAACCAATGAATGAACCGGTCAACCCAACCAACCAGTAACCTCTCAGCCAACCAGCCAATGAAGCTCTCAGTCAAGACTACCAACCGGTCAACCAATCAACCTCATAGCCAGCCAGCCAACAAACCAGTCAGCCACCCAATGAACATCTCAACCAACCAGCCAATCAACCTCACAGCTAACCCTATCCACCAACCAGCCAACGAAACTCCCAGCCAATGAGCCAATCCTAGCAACCCCCCGGCCAATCAACCTCACAGCCAGCCAACAAACCAGTCAGCCACCCAATGAACTCTCAGCCAACCAGCCAGCCCTACCAACCAACGAACCAGTCAACCAGCCAATGAACATCTCAGCCAACCACCCAACCCTACCAACCAACCAGTCAATGAACCAGTCAACCAGCCAAATAACCAGCCAACGCTACCAACCACCAACCAATGAACCAGTCAACCAACCACCCAACCCTACCAACCAACCAGTCAATGAACTGGTCAACCAGCCAATCAACCTCACAGCCAACCCTATCCACCAACCAGCCAACGAAACTCCCAGCCAACGAGCCAATCCTAGCAACCAACCAGCCAGCCAGCCAACAAACCACTCAACCAGTCAATCAACCTCGCAGTCAACCCTACCAACCAACCAGTCAATGAACCTCTTGGCCAACTAGCCAACCCTACCTACCAACCAACCAGTCAATGAACCTCTCGGCCACCCCTATGAACAAGGCAAGAAACCCATCCCTGAATCCATGGGCCGTTCCCAGGGGCTTGTGCCAGCAACTCCCACTGGGGTGACTGGAAGCGCCCCCCCCCGACCCCAATATGGGTTCAAGACTTTTATCACCTCTGGGCATTTGTCCAGCAAGCGGCCGCACCTTGAACTAACCCGGCCCTCACTTTGGATGGAGGGGAGTGGGGGTGGAGGGCAGGGTGTGCGGGGAGGGAGGGACAAATCTTCCCGCCCCCGGTTAGCATCAACCCCCCTCCTCCGAGGGCCCCTCACCTTTGCCCAGGTATCGGGACTTGTCCCCGTCCCGCAGCTCCAGAGCCTCATAGATGCCGGTGGAGGCACCGCTGGGGACAGCGGCCCGGAAACGACCTGCGGGGGGGAAGAAGTAGGGGGAGTAACTAACATGGGGTTCCCCCTACAACCAGGAGAGCCTGACCCCCACCAGCCCCCCCATCCTGTCTTGGGATCCCCCTGAACCCCAGCCTTGGGATTACCCACCTTGTCCCCATGGGAATCCCCCCCACACACACATACCCAAGCCCTCCCCACACATGTGCACCCCAGCCCACTCCTCCCTCTCCACACCCCAGTCCTCCCTCGCCCCCCCGACGCACCCTTGGCCGTGTGCAGATCCACCTCAACCGTGGGGTTCCCACGGGAGTCCAGGATCTCACGGGCGTAGATCTTCTGGATGGACATGGCTGGCGGGAGAAAAACAGAGGGGTGGCAGGCGCCTCGGAAAAGCACATGCCCCAGGCTTGTCCCCCCCATACACAGCCACCCCCTCCCAGAGCCGGGGAGAGAACCCAGGAGTCCTGGCTCCCAGCCCGCCCTGCTCAAACGCACCAGCCCCCACACCCCTCCCAGAGCCCGGGTGGAGGTGTGGGGGGCAGAACCCAGGAGTCCTGGCTCCTAGTCCCACCCACCGTGGACCCACTGTCCAATCCGGAGCAGGTCTGAGCCTTTTAACATTCACACCACCACACCCACACCCTGGGCAGCTGCCAGGGTTAAAAATAGACTCACGTACACCCGGAGGGCTGGCCACTGGAGGAAGAGGTCACCCCATCCCCTGATAGCGGGGAGCCTGCAGCTGGGGCCCACACAGGGCCAGACCCTGGCCTCCCCTACCCCCAGCCCTGCCGGCGCCCCTCACTCCCGACCCACAGCCCCCTGCTAGTCCAGCCCTGCCCCCCAAGCCCTGCCGGCGCCCCCTCACTCCCGACCCGCAGCCCCCTGCCAGCCCAGCCCTGGGTTCCCCCCAGCTCTGCCGGTGCCCCTCACTCCCGACCTGCAGCCCCCTGCTAGCCCTGGGCTCCCCCCAGCTCTGCCGGTGCCCCTCACTCCTGACCCGCAGCCCCTGCTAGCCCTGGGCTCCCCCCAGCCCTGCCGGCGCCCCTCACTCCCGACCCGCAGCCCCCTGCCAGCCCAGCCAGTGCCCCTCACTCCCGACCCGCAGCCCCCTGCCAGCCCAGCCTGTGCCCCTCACTCCCGACCCCCAGCCCCTTGCCAGCCCAGCCTGTGCCCCTCACTCCCGACCCGCAGCCCCCTGCCAGCCCAGCCCTGGGTTCCCCCCAGCTCTGCCGGTGCCCCTCACTCCCGACCCGCAGCCCCTGCTAGCCCTGGGCTCCCCCCAGCTCTGCCGGTGCCCCTCACTCCCGACCTGCAGCCCCTGCTAGCCCTGGGCTCCCCCCACCTCTGCTGGTGCCCCTCACTCCCGACCCGCAGCCCCTGTTAGCCCAGCCCTGCCCCCCCTGGCCCTGCCGGCGCCCCCCCTCCCCGACCCAGCCAGCCCCCCCCCCCCCCCCCCCCCCCCCCCCCCCCCCCCCCCCCCCCTGCCAGCCCAGCCCTGCCCCCTGCAGCCCCGCTGGTGCCCCCCACTCCTGCCCCCCCAAAGGGGCAGTGGACCAGAGGGGAGGGTCCTGGCCCTGGCACTCACTTGCTGAGATCTCGTCTCCGGTGGTGGCTGTCAGGGGGGTGGGCAGCTGACAGTGCCCAGGCAGTGGCTGCCCCCTCCCTTTTATACCCAAGGTCCCCGGCATCCTCCGCCCACCCGGGGCCAGTTAGGGACTGTCTGTAAGTGCCCTGCCCGTGTGGGGACAGGCCAACCCCAGACGGGCCATTGGCACCTGCACAAATATGTGGCTCCGTGAAAGATCCCAGCATCCCTCACGCACAGCACCACCCCTCCCAGAGCCGGGGAGAGAACCCAGGAGTCCTGGCTCCCAGCCCCCCCTGCTCTAACCCACCAGCCCCCACTCCCCTCCCAGAGCCGGGGAGAGAACCCAGGAGTCCTGGCTCCCAGCCCCCACTGCTCTAACCCACCAGCCCCCACTCCCCTCCCAGAGCCTGGATAGAATAAGGCACTGGGGCATTCGGTGACCACCACCCCCCCGGCCCTTGTCTGACAGGTTATTAGCCATGGGTCCCTCAGGGGCTTTCGCCTGTGGGGCAGTGGGGGTGGGGACGGGGGTTGCCTGTTACTGGGCTGACCGTGGCCTCTGTGCGAGATTCTGTGGGTCGGCTTGCGGGGGGGGGGGGGGGGGGCATCGGGCCTGGTGCGGACAAGGAAGGAGGCGGGATTTGACCCGAATTCTCCACACACCCCGTTCTCCGGGCTGGACAAGGCCCCTGTCTCTGCAGAGCGCCCGCCCCACGCACCCCTTGGGGCCCACTGGGGCAGCTCCCAGAACCCGCAGCCTGTCCCCTCTGGGGGGCACCAGCTCCCTCCCGGCCCCAGGGGGTGGTCTGGCTGGCTCAGGGGGGTGGGGAATGGGGCTGGGGCCTCACATGACTGCAGATGTGAAGGCAAAGTCAGGGGGGCTGTGACCCTGGGACCCCCCCAAGGGGATGCCCTTTCCCCGTTGCTCATTCCTATGGGGGCTCCCCACCCCCACCCGGCCGTATGGGCCTCTCCAGACAGCCGGGGCCCTTGGAGCTGGTCTCTAGCCCTATATTTAGCCCCCCGGCTAGTTCGCTAAAGGTCAGAGATCCAGGGCGCCCGTTCCAAGCAGCGGGGAAAGGACACGGCAACCCGAGACGCTCGCCTCACATAGCACGTGGGGGGGGGGGTCCCCGTCCCGGGGCTGCTGGGATGCAGGGGTCCGGAGTGACACTGGGGGGAAGGGGGGGTCTCCATCCATTCACACCAGCCCCACTGAGAACCTGAGCCCTGAATGCATCACACTGCCCCGTCTGGTGGGTTAGAGCAGGGGCGGGGCTGGGAGCCCGGACTCCTGGGTTCTCTCCCCGGCTCTGGGAGGGGAGCGGGGGCTAGTGGTTAGAGCAGGGGGGGCTGGGAGCCAGGACTCCTGGGTTCTCTCCCCGGCTCTGGGAGGGGAGCGGGGGCTGGAGGGTTAGAGCAGGGTGGGGACTGGGGGCCAGGACTCCTGGGTTCTCTCCCAGGCCCCTGGAGGTGAGGATGATGACTGTAGCCAGTCTCCCGCCACTGGCCTGGGGCTCCTTTCCTTGAATATCTGCAATGTGTATCCGCCCCAAACGGGGCGCTACCCAGTGGCCATGTCGGGAAATCCACCCGCTTCTTTTTAGGATAGAACCAGTGTCCCTGGGCAAGATTCGTTCCTTAATGCTGGGGTGGGGACTGGCCGGCTCGGGGGGGGGAATGGGGCCCGGCTGGCTCAGGGGGGCAGGGAATGGGGCAGGAGCCTGTCCCTAGCTGGCTCAGGGGGACAGGGAATGGGGCAAGGGCCTGTCCCTAGCTGGCTCAGGGGGGCAGGGAATGGGGCAAGGGCCTGTCCCTAGCTGGCTCAGGGGGGCTGGGAATGGGGCCCAGGGCAGGGCCCGGCTGGCTCAGGGGGCCGGGGAATGGGGCAGGGGCCTGTCCCTAGCTGGCTCAGGGGGGCAGGGAATGGGGCAGGGGCCTGTCCCTAGCTGGCTCAGGGGGGCAGGGAATGGGGCCCAGGACAGGGCCCGGCTGGCTCAGGGGGGCGGGGAATGGGGCCCGGGGCGGATCCCCGGCTGGCTCAGGGGGGCAGGGAATGGGGCCCGGGGTGGGGCCCGTCTCGCTGTGGCCCGTCTGTTTGCGTCCCGCTTCCATTTCCAGGTGACTCAGGCTCCGGGAATTCCCCCGTCCCCGCCCCGTGCAGGCTCCGAGGTGGGGCCCGTCGCCCGGAGAGGGGCGTCCTGCACCCCTGACGGCCAGGCCGGGCCCCCGCAGGCTCCCGGATCCGGGGCTGCCAACCGGCTCTGGGGTGTGGTGCGGGGCGGGGGTGACTCAGGGTGTAGATGGGAGTGTCCGGGTTGCCAGGAGTAAGCGCGGGGGGGGGGGTAGTGCTTTGCTGGGTGGGGTTTGGGGGGACAGAGGTGGCTGCTTTCAAAGGAGCCCAGCTGAACCCTCAGTCCTTGGAAATTCACAGGCCCCAGTGCCACCAACCAGGAAGTGAACCCCGGCGTCCTGGGAAAACTCCAAAGGGGATAATTACCTGCTCCCAGCTCCAGGGACAGAACCCAGGAGTCCTGGCTCCTTCCCAGCCCCCACTCCCCTCCCAGAGCTTGGGAGAGAACCCAGGAGTCCTGGCCCCCAGCCCCCCTGCTCTCACCCCCCCAGCCCCCACTCCCCTCCCAGAGCCGGGGAGAGTCCTGGCCCCCAGCCCCGACCCACCAGCCCTCACTCCCCTCCCAGAGCTCTGGTTTTCCTATCAAGTCTCGAGGAATCCACAAATCTCCCCGGCTGGTTTACTGCCCCCCAGGAAGGGGCCCTGAGGCAGATGCCCCAGTGTGCTGGCTGGGCCGGGCCCTGCAGAAGCCTGGTCCCCGCCCTGCACCCCCCAGCAGAAAGGCCCTGGGGTCGGGGTGGGGGGATAAAATGCTTATCTGGAAAGCTCATCACAGGGGCTCAGGGTGACTAATCTAATTGCCCCGCTGATAAGATAAGGAGCTCAGGGGATATGGAGCCTGCTTACTCCAGAGTATGATGCCAGGCTCCCCGGGTCACCGGCTGCCCCGCCCCAGAGGTGGGCACATCTCGGCGCCGGCAGAGGGGTCCCCGTGTCACCAGCTGCCCTGCCCCGCCCCGCCCCAGAGGTGGGCGCATCTCGGCGCTGGGCGAGGGGTCCCCGTGTCACCCGCTGCCCTGCCCCGCCCCAGAGGTGGCTGCGTCTCAGTGCTGGGCGAGGGGACCCTGTGTTTCTGGCCGCCCCACCCCAGAGGTGGCTGCATCTCGGCGCCGGGCGAGGGGTCCCCGTGTCACCAGCTGCCCTGCCCTGCCCCGCCCCAGAGGTGGGCGCATCTCGGCGCTGGGCGAGGGGTCCCCGTGTCACCCGCCGCCCTGCCCCGCCCCAGAGGTGGGCGCATCTCGGCGCTGGGCGAGGGGTCCCCGTGTCACCCACCGCCCCCCCTGGCCCGCCCCAGAGGTCCCGGTCACCCCCCCCCCCCAGAGGTGGGAGCATCTCGGCGCTGGGCGAGGGGTCCCCGTGTCACCCACCGCCCTGCCCCGCCCCAGAGGTGGGCGCATCTCGGCGCCGGCAGAGGGGTCCCCGTGTCACCAGCTGCCCTGCCCCGCCCCAGAGGTGGCTGCATCTCGGCCGGGCGAGGGTCCCCTCCCCCCCCCCCCCCCCAGAGGTGGTTCTCAGTTGGCGAGGGGACCCTGTGTTTCTCCGCCCCACCCCAGAGGTGGCTGCATCTTGGCGCTGGGCGAGGGTCCCCGTGTCACCCGCCCCCCCCCCCCAGAGGTGCTTCTCAGTCTGGGGGGGACCCTGTGTTTCTGCCCCCCACCCCAGAGTCTCTCTTGGCCCCGTGTCACCCGCTGCCCTCCCCCCCCGGTCTCGGGGGCCCGTGTTTCTGGCCCCCCCCCAGATTTCTTCGCTGGGCCCCGAGAGGTGGGCGCATCTCGGCGCCGGCAGAGGGGTCCCCGTGTCACCAGCTGCCCTGCCCCGCCCCGCCCCAGAGGTGGGCGCATCTCGGCAGTCCCCTGGCAGCGGCTCCTGGCAGCGCTGGGCCGGGGTGGAGGGGACAGGGGCTGTGGGGTGTAAGGGTGGTAGAGGGCCCTGGCCGCCTTGCAAGAGGGCCCGAGCGCCCGGACTGGGCCGCCCCCATGCCCCTCCCCCACCGACAGGAAGTGAGACTCTCCGCCCCTCCCCCCCAAAGCAAAAGTTGGGCCGCAGAACAAGAGAGGAAAAGTTTTGCAACCTGTGTCCCTCCGCCAAATAATCCCGCCCGGGCCTGTGACGCAGGCGCAGGGACGGGCCAATGGGAGCCCGCGTCTCTGGGCGGGGGGGCCCCCCCTCGTTTGGCAGCTGTGTGGCCTGGTGTGTCTGATTGGACATGCGGAGTCACACCGGTGTTCGCATGTCCGCTGGGGGGGGGAGTTTCACATGTGTGTCCTGGCGTGCGGGCGTAGCTGAGCGGGGCGCGTGTGCGATTTGCACGTGTGCAGGGGCACATGCATGTGGATGCAACATGTGCTGACACGCGTGTGTGTTTTGGCATGAGTGGCCGGTGGGCACAGCGGCTTGGCTCCATGCAGCCCAGGCCGGGCGCTTGCAGGCCGCTGTGTAGGCCCGAGTTCTCGTGCACGGGTGCGGGGAGGGGGGAGATGCCGTGTAATGGCGTGTGCGTGTTCATATGTGTCCACGCATGGCTGTGCTTTGCCTCTGCACCCAAAGACGTGAGATCTCCCCAGGTTCCCAGGGCATCGGGCTGGGGCGGGGGGGGGGGCCTCTGGACACGCAGCTTGTGTGTGTCTTATTGTGAACACGTGTGTTGACATGTATGATGTGTGCCTGTGGGAGGGGGGCACAGGCGAGTCGCCCCGCATGCCTCGGGGAGCCCCATCTTGGACTGGGTGCATTGCGGGGGGGGGGGGGTCAGACCCATATGCGCTAAGGGGAGCGCCCCAATTGCTGTGAGGATGGGATTGAATAACCAGAGGGGCTCTTGGGGGGCACATGTGGGGGAGGATGTGCAGGAGAAAATGGGGGGTCCTGGGGTGCACATGGGGGAGGGGTTTCCAGGCAGAAAGCAGAGGTTTAGATGGACCATGGTGGACAGGGGATGCCCTGCCTAAAACGGGGTACACGGGGAGGGGGAAGTTTTTGCAATGCAAATAAAGGGGCCCTCCAGGGGGGTGCAGTGTGAAAAGGGGACCCTTACCAGGGGCATAGGAGGA